GCCCATGTAAAAAGTCTTTCTCTGTCTTTCTTATAAGCCCCCTTCATATATCAATATCAAAAGGCTGCAGTAAGGTCTTTCTGGAGCCTTCTCTGGGCTGAGCAACCCCAACTCTCTCAGCCTTTCCTCACGGGAGAGGTGTCCCAGCCCTGCGGTCATGTCCATGGCCCCCTCGACCTGCTCCAACAGGTCCATGTCTGTCTTATACTGAAGACCCCAGAGCTGGATGCAGTGGTCCAGGTGGGGTCTCACCAGAGCAGAGAAGAGGGGCAGAATCGCCTCCCTCGAGTTGCTGGCCACGCTTCTTGTGATGCGGCCCAGGATACGGTTGGCTTTCTGGGCTGTGAGCACACCTTGCTGGCTCATATTCAGTTTTTCATCCACCAGTACCCCCAAGTCCTTCTCCACAGGGCTGTTCTCCATCCCGTCACCTCCTAGTCTGTATTGCCCCAATCCAGGGGCATTGCCTTGGCTTTTTTGAACTTCATGAAGTTCATGAAGATTTCACGAAGTCTAAGAAGCGCAATCTCCCTCTTCTCCCGGCTGTCTCCATCATGTGTTAGCATATACATTCAAATGCACTCGTATTCCTGTTTCCGATGTGACTGTGTAGTCCTTGTAGTCATTGGGTATTGCCATAGGCTCTGCACTGAGTTCACAAGGCCTCAGGACTAAGGCTTGCCAGCCCTGCTCTGGATTTTTCATGACCTGCCTGCAGTTTTGTTTCACTTGGCTTAGGTGTGAGAGCAGTTTCTCTAATTATCAGGTGTCTATGGCTAATTTATTTTACTTATTTATCCTTGTGTGGTACAACCACGGTTTTATATAGGTAGTATTAACAAGCAGTTATTCTAGGTAGAATGAGATATTTACAACTCTAACACAATGATGTAGAGTAGAGAAATACAGGCCTGGTAAAACAGCTGAGGTCTTGAGAAGCGGAGACACAGATTTGGCATAGAGGAGAACAGAAACGGAATGATAAAAGAGATGGGGCACAGGCTTTGTGCTGGAGACCCCATGGCTATAAAGATCTAACTAATGATTAGTTTAAAAAATGCAGACCCAGCGCTGGACAAAACCGGTTTTAGGGGTAACAAAGTAAATGTATCTAAGCTATGTACAGGGCACCATATAGAGTAAATTCAAATGTAAATGTAAAATGAAAGAGAAAGGTATAAATTTATGTTAGCAAACATATATACATGAGCCTAAGTGGAAGGAAAGAGAAGAAAGGGAGAAGAAAAGAAGAGAGGATGAGGAAACCATTAACAAGAACAGCACATTCCTCCCAGTGAAGGACTCCAGATGCTGACAACTTGCCATGACACCTCTCCACCACAAACATCAGAGTGAACCACAGATTTTAATATCCAGAGGAGCAGCAGTCAGATGAGTGTAACACCAGAAAAATCATAGAAACTAAGTGTGGTACTCTAGAAGGAAGGGATGCCATCCAGGGGGACCTTGACAGGCTAGAGAGTTGGGCCCATGCGACACTCATGAAGTTCAACAAGGCCAAGTGCAAGGTCCTGCACATGGGTCGGGGCAATCCCAAGCACAAATACAGGCCGGGCAATGAGTGGATTGATAGCAGCCCTGTGGAGAAGGACTTGGGGGTGTTGGTGGATGAAATACTGAATACGGGCCAGCAACGTGCACTTGCAGCCCAGAAAGCCAACCGTACCCTGGGCTGCATCAAGAGGAGCATGGCCAGCAGGTTGAGGGAGGTGATTCTGTCCCTCTACTCCACTCTGGTGAGACCCCCCTGCAGTACTGCGTTCAGCTCTGGGGCCCCCAGCATAAGAAAGACATGGACCTGCTTGAGCAGGTCCAGAGGAGGGCCATGAAGATGATCAGAGGGCTGGAGCACCTCCCCTATGAGGACAGGCTGAGAGAGTTGAGGTTGTTCAGCCTGGAGAGGAGAAGGCTCCAGGGAGACCTTATAGCGGCCTTTCAGTACTTAAAGGGGGCCAAACCATTCTATCTATGATTCTATGTGTAAGGTATACTTCCTCTTTGTCTATAAACAAGATTTTGAACGTAACTCTGAGTTCTTAGTTTAAGAATGTTTAGTAATGGTGTCTAACAGAGATGATAGAAATACTCCATCTCCTTTACATACCGTCCCTCTTAAATGGATTAATGGTGATAATTTTCAAGGCTCAGTTTTACTAGTATCTCACTATATTTCATTAACACAAACAGTTTTTTAATGGTCTTAATAATGTTTATCTGCAGCTGCAGTATAAGTAACTGAAGCATTTGTGATACATAGTCTTGTTGCATTGATTTAATATGCTCTGGAGAAAGTGAATTTGAGGCAGTACTACTTGCATTGTTATATGATGCTGGCCACAAAAGATAAGTACATGCACTGTTTAGCACTGTTCATTGTTTCAGCATCTAAAATTGCTTGTCTTTATTTTATTATAAAATGTTTATGGGTTTGGATTTTTTTTTGTAAGTTATGCTACAAAAATAAACTATTACTGTGTTTTAACAGATACAGGTTTGTGAAGATAAAACATTGGAATGACAGCTATTCCTAAGTAAAGATGGTGATTGACTCTGATTCATCTGCTTGTTTTGGGTTTGTGTGGTGGGGTTTTAGTAGCGGGGGAGGGGCTGCAGGGCTGGCTCCTGTGAGAAGCTGCTCGAAGCTCCCCTGGCTCGAAGTCGGACCCGCCGCTGGCCAAGGCTGAGCCCATCACTGATGGTGGTAGCACCTCTGGGAGAACATATTTAAGAAGGGAAACCTGCAGTGGAGAGAGGAGTGGGATGTGAGAGAAACACCTCTGCAGATACCAAGGTCAGTGAAGAAGGAGGGGGAGGAGGTGCGCCGGAGGAGGGGATGCCTCTGCAGCCCGTGGTGAGATGTCAGGCTGTCCCCCTGCAGCCCATGGAGGTGAGTGGTGGAGGAGATGCCCACCTGCAGCCTGCGGAGGACCCCATGCCAGAGCAGGTGGATGCCCCCGAAGATGGCCGTGACTCCATGGGAAAGCCCGTGCTGGAGCAGTCTGTGTCTGAAGGACTGCAGCCTGTGGAAAGGAGCCATGCCAGAGGAGTTCGTGGAGGACTGTCTCCCACAGGAGGGACCCCAGGCTGGGGAAGAGCTCCATGCTCCCAGGTCCAACCAGTTGCAAAGCTGAGAATGTATTCTTAGTAGACACACAAACACATGTATACAACACATATATACATATGCACCCAGCCAGCCATACAGACGGCAGCACCCAGCATGCACACAAACACAAACAGCACTGGTGACTGCATCCTGTCCCCACCTCTGGCAGATAAGGATGAAGATCCATCGGTGGGAGATATACATATATGCACAATGCAGGTAGCTCCAGTAGCTGGACTTAGACACTTGATCTACTCAGTAGCTGGCTCTGGATGTCCAGTCTGCCCAGCTGCTGACACCTGAATATGCCAGACCCCCAAGGGCCATGGCCCCAACTACAGTTGCTGGTACAGATCCCCTTGCACACACCAAAGCAGACACAGACATGTACACTGTGGGTCCCTTCAGTAACTGTGATGAGGCTCTCAGGATCCTTGCTTTGTCTTACTCTGTCTCCTGCACAGAGAAACACACACAGACAAGTGGGTCTCCCTCAACCCCACACCTTACAGTCTCTCCAGCAGTTGGGCTGGACCCCTGGTCCTTCCGATAGTCAACTCCTCCAGTTCTCTCACTAACAGAGACATACACACACCTGGTTCCCAAGCCACATAACCTATTTACTGGTTAGTCTGGCTTGATAGTCACTAGTGATCATATACTGACATACACACTTTCACTCGCTCCAGTTGCTAGCACCCAAGACATGCGGGACCATGTGATCCGTGGTCTGACACCAGTTGCTGGCACTTAGATCCTCACCGATTCCAGTTGCTGACACCAAATACATGCAGGCTCCTGTGACCCATGGTCCCCACTCCAGCTGTGGGCACTTAAATCCCCATGCATACACATGCACCCAGAACGGAGCTGCACAGCCAGAAGAAGAATTAGAAGTGTTAGAAGACAGGAAAGACTGTGGTGATTGGGCATGGCTAGACACTCATACTAACCAGCAATCATTTTACATGCAACCAGCCCCTTGTATCCCCTTTCTCTCCATTTTCCCGTGCTTGTCATCCCTAAACCACCTAGACCCATCCCTTTCCCCACCTTTGGTTCCTCCCCTAAACATCCCATTATAAGTCTTGTGCAATCCCCAATTGCTCTTTCCCTGCACCCCACAATGTTTTCCCCAGGCAGTAACCCCACTCAGTCTGTAGGGTACTTTGACAACCTCTCCCATTGACTCATTGTGATGGGTGTCACCTCCAGGCCCATGGGGCTGATGGCTCCCCTATGACAGCCTTAGAAGGAGCTGGGACAGGGGCTTCATTTCTTTTACTGGGTTATTTGGGTTCCCCAGCCTGTGGTTGTCTCTTTTTGCTCCTTCCTGTTTGTGCAGATGAGCCTTTTATGGGTTGATTGCACTTCTGTGGTGGTTCTGGGATTAGCCAGGTCAGGGGATTATTTGGGTTCCCCCATCTGCCTTGTGTGTGTGGAGATGAGTTTTTTCCCACATAACCTAACATTTATGATGGGCTACTTCTGTAACACTTTCTGGTCCTATACGCTAAGTTATCCAACATTTGTATTTGAGAAAACAGACTCTCAAATCCAGTTAGAGGAGCAGGCCTTTACTTCACCTCAAATCCCACATCTTGTAGCCTTTTCCTCTTATCTTCATGTATAATTATATCAAGGGTAAAAATAGGATAGTGTCCTAGTGTATACCAAACCAGTATAGCTCCTAATGCCAGTGTCTGATTAACCTTCTCACCCTTTCTGATTTGGCTCCTGAAATAGTGGTGATTTGCTAGATTATTTTGCACCTCCTTTCCATTCTAAGAAGGCTGTTTGTATCATTGAAACTTTCAGGTTTGTAAATCAGCCTCTAAGCAGATTAACATCTATAATTGGCTTCTGGAAAGTTAGATCCCTCAACTGACAGTAATGTCAAACGTGGACAGGAGCAGACAGGCAGTGCTGTGAAAGCAACAGGAGGAAGAAGATCATTCCTATAGCATCATTCTTCTGACCACACACACGCATGGGGAACAATAGCAGCTCCACAGTGGATGATCTGCAGGCTATCGAGATCCACCACTGGTACAAAAAGTTCATGACGGAGTGTCCTTCTGGACAGCTGACAGAGTATGAATTTAAACAGTTCTTTGGGCTTCGAGGGCTGGATCCAGAGGCCAGTGAGTACATTGAGCAGATGTTCCGCACGTTTGATATGAACAAGGTGAGTTCTCTGGCAAGGAAATTAACTGCCTCATACTGCTTAAAAGTGAACCAACTCCTGCACTTTTAGAGTCCTCGGTTTTCTCTTACAAACATTGGTGTTGAAAGCTGCTGACGGACACTAACGTAAAGTAGCTAAATGCAAGGAGCAAATTAATGTGCATAGATAATGACATAGATAACATAACCATAGGTAATAACACCTTATTATCTAACTACCTTGTGCAAGTTCATCTTTGAATTTTCAGAATTCTTTATTGTGTATTAATTGGCTTGGCCTTGTTTGACTAGCAAAATACTAATGAAAGGATTTCATTCCTATTCTTATATGTTCTTATTCTTATTATTAAAAAATATATCTGTATTATATAGTAGAGACTACAGGAATCAAACACAATAGAAATCATTATAGCATTCACAGAGGAAATAATTTCCAGGTATTTGGCAGCTGAAATAAATACTGCATGGGCAGATGATCTATGTGGCTCTCCTCAGTTCTAGGAGGTATAGCATATGGCAGTAGCTAGCAGGTAGGTAGTATTCCTCACTGTGACAGGCAATCAGTGGCTGTTTCTAAGGTAGGAAACAGTAGCCCCCATAATTCCTTTAAGCATGCAATGCCCCTCACTTTTGCCTGTTTTTTATCCATATAAAATTAAGCCTATGCTTGTGGGTCTGTAATCTCAATGATAGAGAAATTTGAGTTTATGGCAGCCTGGGAAAATTCAGCTTTGCTCTCTGCTCCAAGGTTCTGAAATGACTGGAGCAAATGTCTGTGAGTTAGGGAGGAACTAGTCACAGATACATGTGAAACAGGTAGGAAATCACGGCGTCAGTTTTGAAGAAGGAAAACCTAGGGACTGAGCAAAGAACATTGGTTTGGACAATATGTGAGAAGGCATAAGGAGTTAAGGACTGATAAGAAATATTACAAAATTCTTGAAGGTAAAAGAGGAGCAGCTAGGCTCCATTAGGGTAGCTGAGGTCTTGTGGTGGAGGTAATGACTGGAAATGACTGTAAATCTCAAAGAATATCCTTTCTCATTCTGAAGTTCTCTGGACCCAGGATGAGGATAGTGATGAGAAGCAGTTTTATAAACTAAACCAACACATTTACAGTTCTTGCACCAGTCTTTCCCTTTACCTCTGTCATTTCTTGGGATGTTTAAGGACTTTAAAATTTGTTCAAGGATGTTACACACTCCCAAGTTCTCCTGTGAGCCCCATGTTATGCAGTAAACAGTGTTTTAAGAAGACTCTCAAAATCAAATTTGGTCATACAAAGATAAAAAGCTATCTTCTAAATAAAGTGATAGTCATCTCAAGGGGAATGAAGTAAGAGTGTGGCAGCTAGTGGAGTTGGACCTACATCAGTTAATCTTAGCCTGCTAATAGTTAGCCACTTAATCTAAGATCCTTTCATAAACAAAGGCAAGGAACAAGAGCACCCGGAGGAAGAAGCGCCCTGTAGTAATACAGACACTGATGATGAATGGAATCATCTGCCCTCTGGACCTTCAGATTCTGAGAACTCTGCTGAGGACAGAGAATAAATTTTTAATAGAGTTATTTTATAAACTGCAATCATGCCCTCCTTCCCACCTTTAGAGCTGGTTATCTTTGTTTTCTGTGACTTTGCTCAATGAAGTTATGAAAAACTCACATAAGGGGAGTACTACAATGATCCTGAATGAATATTTTAAAATGTTGTGATCCTTGCTGTAAAACAGTAGTGCTCTGCTAGTCCACCTACATTTGCCTTTTACATATATTTATCATCCATTCCAGAAAGGCATCTGACTTTGTTTAAATACCTCAATAAATGAAAGTTTCATGTTTTTTGCTCTGTAATTTCTTGAAGTAGTTATTCAGAATCTTTGACAGAGATACACACTTTATTTGTTGTTTCTTTTTAACTACTTCAAATTTTAGTCAGTGTTAAATCTAGGGATTATGAACCTTTACTGTCTGGCATTTCTCTTGCAGAGGAACCAAGAGCTTTTTGAGTTTCTTTGTAGATTCAAGAAATGGAGTGTTTGAAAACCTAAATACAGAACATTTTTTCCAACTGTCAAATCATGTTTTATGTATTTAAAAAAAAAAAAAAATCTTCAGTCACTTTTTTTTGTCAGAGAATGGAGAAGAGATCTACAGCTTACCGAAATAGCAGTAGTTTCCCACAAAGACAAAGCAGACTAGTACAGAAAACCCAAGGTAGAATTACCTTCCACTTCTCTTGCAGCCAGGGCTCTGGATCAATTTTCTCTCCCAGCAGGCCATAGGCAGTCAGCTCTGGTGGACAGAGAGGGGTCCGTTCATCCTGGCCATGAGGAGTGACAGGTTCCATCTCTGCAGGTGGTGAGCACAGAATAGCCTAGACATGTAATAGATCATAACTTCAGGAATCCAGGTATTTAGGAGAGCTTGAAGGTGGCCAGAGAAATAGTGTGCATGTACACTAAAGCTTTTTCCTAAGTCCAAGTCTCCGTGCCATTTGTTTTTCTTTCTCTTTTAGCTGTGAATCTAAAGAGCAATAAGATAAAACAGCTCCAGAGCTATAACTCCCTCAGTTTGTTCCTGTCACAATTTGTTTTTTGTTTTCCCACAGGATGGATATATTGACTTCATGGAGTATGTGGCTGCCCTCAGCCTTGTTCTCCGTGGGAAGATGGAGCAGAAATTGCGGTGGTATTTCAAGCTCTATGATGTAGATGGCAATGGCTGCATTGATCGACATGAATTGCTCAACATCATTAAGGTCAGTCTCCAGGGGTCTGTGTTCTTTCTTCTTTCCTTAAAGACAAATGCACCGCACAAGTAAGACTTTCACTATTCCCCATATGGATGATCATGGATGAGACCTTCTTTAACAGTATTCTTTCTTTTAGCAGAATTCCTCACCATCTCATGGTCCAGTAAGCAGACTTGACAGACTCTTCTTTACCACCACAGCATATGTAACAGCATAGCTAACTCCATAAAATTGTTTTAGCTGCCTAGAACCTAAATTGCACTTTCCAAGATTTCAGACTCCATGACTGTCAGTTGCAGTCTCTGCAATGTGTCCTTCCTATGTCCTTTTCCCCATGTGAATAGTAGCTGGAGAGTTAGTCCAGTTTGCTTTCTAGAACCAGCTCCTAAACATCAATGTAATAAAACATTTCTGACTCTAGCAAATAGTTTGAAGAAGAATGACTGTCAATAGAAAAGATTGTATGCAAATAGCTATTATGGAAGGTGTTGGAATTGCAGGCATAAACATGATCTTATGAATAGCTCAGAATGAATTATGCTGGAAGTTCAGATTATTCTGTAAAGACTGGGAAACTAGAAAGATGCAGGAAAGATTCAATGATCCTAAATAATTTACATTTCTGAATAAGAAAAGTCAGAAAATGCATTTGATAAAGATTTGAAGCCTGAGCTGTCCACAAATAAAACCACTAATAACATGTTAATAATGCATTCTCACCTGGGTATGAATCTTAGTGCTGAGTATTGAAGAGACCAAACCATATCAGTAACTGTAATAATATACAGCTTCCTACCAATAACTTGCACTAGAAATACTCAGACATCACAGTGAAGCAACAGATAGTAATTGTTTAACACAGAGTTCTTGAGAAACAAGTCTTGTGGGTGATAATTGATGGCAACCAATTTACTGCCCTTTGAATTTTGTGGATGTAGTTCAGTGTCTTTCTTGGCAGCCTTAGGAAGTTGCTGAGGTGATACTTAGTTTTAGTAAAATGGCATTTGAAAAAGAATGAAGAAACTTACCAAATATCAGGAGGTAAAAACTAGAAAGTGAATAGTCTTACAGTCAATATAAAGGCTCTGGAATCACATATTTTGTGGACATCCTTAAACAAAGGAAACAATTAGGCATGGAAAGAAAAGAGAACCCTGCACTATATGGTTATGAATAAAATGAATTGTAGTAAACAGTGGTGAATAATGCTTAAACTTTCTCAAGCTGAAAAATAATTTCCACTGAGCTTTAGGGAGAAGCAGGATATACAGGAAGCAGTATATAAATGGAAATAGGGAGAGCAAGAATAGAAATAAATGACCATAACATATAGGAAAGGAATTTCATAATGTTAAATGCCAAGGGTGTTTGACAGTGTTTATTGGGCTTGGTGGACCATAGGGTAATAGAAAGTGGATCAGTTAAGTGGATCCTGATTCTGCCATTTCTGCAGTGCTTAACCACCATCTAAGCAGAATTAGGATGATCATCTGAGTTTCACTGCTCATTCTGTGCTCCAAACCCGTGCTCCCTTTGCAGCCTTCAGTGCCAGCTGTAAGGCCTGATGATTTCTGCTGTGTTTTCCTATTGATGTTGGTTCGTTTGTATGGGGAAGGTACCAGGCATGATTGTCTTGTTCTGAATCTACACTGACAGGCTGCAGTGGAATCAGTCTATTGTTTTGGGATCCATTAGGCAGCTTCCTATTCTTGCTCTTTTCTTCTAGGCTATTCGAGCTATTAATGGTGGTGACCATGAAACTAGTGCAGAAGAGTTCACCAACCGAGTTTTCAACAAAATTGATGTGAATGGAGATGGTAAGATTCCTGTCTTAGTCATCCAACTCAGGTGGTCTCTGTGCTACAGAGAGATATCCATGTCTTCCTTTCTTGATTGAACTTTATGCCTCTTCATTTTATATTTGCTTGTTGGATGAATGCTCATCTAGTAATGCATTCTCCGTGAATTTTGCTAAGGCATTTTTCTCCTTGCATCATACATAATCAATATGACAGGATTTGTTCCCTGTACTAAGTCTCACCTGTGTTCTGTCCACGACTTTGGGGGGGGGGGGGGGGGGGTGGAATGGGGGGGAGGAGTTTGCCTTTTATTATGTTGCTGTGTAGCTTATGTCAGTTAGAAGTGGGAAATATTAACAGATGGCCCCAGGTGCTCCTAAATATTTCAGCAGCAGGGAAAGGAAGAACTGGAATTTAATGTTGAAGTTCTGAATTTCTTCACTGGGTTTGCTACAGGCAGTGCAGCAAGCACATGAAATGCTATGGACCAGTGAGTCAAAAGCTGGTCAACGCCACTGTAGTCACTGTATGTCCCTGACAGATATTTGTTTCCTTGCTACTTCATGTGCTCATTACCTTCTGATATGCCCTTTTGCTATTCCAGAAGAACTCTGCCAAGCTGCTTCCCTGCACAAGGACTTTTTGGCCTAGCACAGAAAACCTATTTCTGCCTGTCACATCTTCCTTCTGTCACTTCTTTTAAACATGAAAACCAGCAAGTATGGGGCAGATTAGGACTATGACAAATTAGGACAAAAAGGAGGCGGCTAATCCAGCCTTATTTATAGGAATCTATGATCCCACTCCTTAGCTATGCACTTCCTCTGTTCTTTCCTATGTACCTTTCCCCTTGTGTGGGGAAAAAAAAAAAAGAAAAAAAGGAAGCTGGAGTTACCTGGATATCAGGGAAGTTTCATATAAGCTTAAAAAGACTCTCTGAGGCCTCTTGGTGCTTTAGAACAGTGCATGTATAGTAAGTGGTCTCTAAAGTTAGATTACTCGACTCCTTTTCTTGTTTAAATGTGGATTTGCATGATTCTGATGCCTTCTGTCTGTGTCTGACACAGGTGAACTTTCTCTGGATGAATTTGTGGAGGGAGCAAGGAAAGACAAGGAGTTCATGGAGGTGATGATGAAAAGCTTGGACCTGTCACACATTGTGGCCATGATCAACAACCGTCGGCATAGTGTATAAGTCAAGCTAGGAGAAGACACTGTGCCAGTAGACTGAACGGTGTACACACACCAAAAAGGAGAGACAGCATTTTTTAAAACAAACAGAATTGCCATAAACACACATATGGAAGTAGGAACAGAAAGACACTGCTATATTTGTGTATCTGAGTGCATGTTTCTGTACAAATATTGAAGCTCAGCCACATACATGCAAGGCAGGTTCAGAAAAACTGGATCTGGGTGGCAGTATTTGACTTGAGTTCCTAAAATTTAAAGGCCAAGTTTCAGGGCACAAATTTCTTCCTTATTCTGTGTCCCAGATTGTCACTTTGCAATGGACTAAAAGTAACGCTGAGTTTGTGAAGAGCAGTAGCAGAACTGGATGACGGAGTGTGGAAAATTTCTGACATGTACAAAAGAAGAGCTTCAAACTGTTATCAATGTAGAGAAGTATCAAAAGAATGTAACTTCCACTGTTCTTGTCATGGTGTTAGATCATAAACACCAGCATGTTTTTCCATACCAGATGTGCTTGGATTTGGTAGTCTCTACAGAAGTAGCTTTATTCATAAGATCTCAAGAACTGAAAGAAAAATCAGTCTTTAAGGCCAATAGTGGCAAATCTGTTCCCAGCTGCACTGTCAGTAATGCTGCTGTTTGCAGCTTTCTGTGATCAAAGAACTCTTTATCAAACAAGTCAACAGTTTAGAAGCAGCTTCTGTAACTAGAGAAAATACGCTGCTCAGTTTCCCAAAGCAGAATTACCTGAGAGATCAAATCCTTTTTACACTCGTTGTCCTACTACTCTCCTCTCATACAATGGAATAAATGAAGTATGTGAAGATGATCCTAATGTTGTTTCTTCACACATCCTTTATTGGTCTTTCTTTTTATTCTTGGGGAGAAGATCTAAGAAGCAAAAGAAACAACTCAGCAAGGTGACTTGTGAATTCTGCTGTTCATGTGAATACTGGAGTGTAATTGATATTCCAGATCAGTGCTGCTACAAATGACTCTGTACATGATGTACATGATGGGAAGAGTGATGTAGCACAGATAGAAACTGAGCAAACTGTGTCTTGTTCACTAACGTTAGGTAAGGTCACAATCAGAAGCTCCTTTGAATCTGGAGAGAACCGGAAGGTAAGAAGAATGCAGGAAAAGTTCAGCAGAGTGCCTATGCCATAGTTGGGCATGTTTTCCCTGTGCAGGAGGAAGAACTTGCAGATCTGTAACAAGAATACTTAAGAGTGGACTTAACCTTGCTTATATTTAAGCTTCTGTGATGTGCGTATGTATACCGAACAAAGCATCTAGGCGTTCATCTCAGTCGAGGGAGATTTAGTCAGTATTGTCACTGGATCTTGAGAGAGTGAGTGATCACGTTTAGAGCAGGCACCAACATTTTGCCAGGCGGGCTCATACTTCAGGTCCCATTGGCATGTACACATTCTGCAGTCTTAGAGCTTCTGAGAAGAGTCACAACCTGGGTATTGGCAAACATTGCTCAGTTCTCCAGAGGATTATAGTGAGTATATGCTGTTGGACTCTGCTGTTGCTTTGGTCTGAGGAAGGCAGAGGGTTTTTTCAAGACTCTGTTGAACCTGTCCTGTACCTGTTACAAGTCCTCAGTCTCCTGCTGTTTCGTTGATCAGTTACTTGTAAAACTGCATTTTCATTATCATCTGACATACACCCCCCCCGCCTTTTTAGTTCTTAGGAAAGTAAAGAATTTTTGTAAGTGCAGCTGGTGTATTAAATCACCAAGAAGTTCTAGCTGCCAGCAGTGTTGCAGCAAGCTGCTATACACACTGTACAGAATCTTCTTGAGGTACATAAAGGAGAAGGGCATGTACACAGTACATTCTCAATAATAATCCTTAATATTTGTAAGCGGAGTTTAATTTTTAATTTTGTTTTAATAGATGTTACAGAAAACTGATTCTTCCTTAGTTGTCATTGCTGATGATGCTGGAACATTTCCTAGCTAAGATGCAGTTATGACATTTGTAATAAACAAAAAAAACGCATCATGCTATCACTACACTAAGTTGCAGATGTGTGTTTTGTTCTTAATGTTCCTGTTCTTCTGTTACTGAATGACTTCACTGGTTTTTGGCTCTGCAGTCAGAGTGTTCTTTGAGAGACCGATCTGGCAGTATATGTGCCTTTGTCAGAATCTATGGGAAGGAGACTGGGGAGAGGGAGAGGAAATCTCTGTAAAGAGGAGATAATTGTCTTCTGACCTACTTGGCTTTCTTTGTACAGTTAAGATTAAAAAATGTACAATAAACATATCTTGGAACTGTTCTCTTTGATAGAAGAATAGAAGAATTGAGAGGATAGAATCTAGAGCTATGATTTGGATTCAGCATGTTAGGGTTTTCAAATACCTCCAAGGATGGGAACTCTACAACTTCTCTGGGTTAGGGTGAGGGTTTGGAGTTAGGGGTTTAGGATTAGGGAATATGGTTAGGATGGTAAGTGTTGAAGTTATCATTTGGAATTGGGTCATGGGTTAGGGTTCAGGCTGGGGTTAGAATTAGGGCTTTAGGTTTGGACTTGGGCTCAGGTTTGGGGTTTGGGTTAATGTTGGTAGTTTAAGGGTTAGGAATTAAAATTCAGATTATGGTTTAGGGGTTTGGTTTGGGTTGGGGGTAGGGGTTAGATTTAGGATTAGGATTTAGAGAGGGTTAGAATTTGAAGTTTGGGGTACAGTTAAAGGCTAGGGATCAGGTTTATCATTCAACTTCATGTGTTAGGGCTTCATGTATCTGGAGGCAGAGAGTGCTCTGGAAGCTCTTTGCAGGAGCTGTCCCAGCACTGGCTGGGACCAGAGTCACACCGTGGAGCTCGTGGTGCTGGAACAGTTCCTGAACTGTCCTGTCCCAGGAGGTGCAGTGCTGAATGTGGTAATGCAGCCCTGAGACCTGCACCAAGGCTGTGGCCCTGGCCAAGGGCCAGGTTCTGGCATATAGGAGCTGCAGATGGGCAGATATTTATGTGATAAAGGTGGGGGATGAGGCCTCCTGCGCTTGTTATGGTTTGGGGACTTGCCCTATGATTGTGGGTGTGTGGAGTGAAGGTGTGATGGGTTGACCCTGGCTGGGTCAGTGAAGAAGGAGGGGGAGGAGATGCTCCAGGCGCCGGAGCAGAGATTCCCCTGCAGCCCGTGGTGAAGACCATGGTGAGGCAGGCTGTCCCCCTGCAGTCCATGGAGGTCCATGGTGGAGCAGATCTCCGCGTGCAGCCCATGGAGGACCCCACGCCGGAGCAGGTGGGTTCCCGAAGGAGGCTGTGACCCCGTGGGAACCCTGTGCTAGAGCAGGCTCCTGGCAGGACCTGCAGATCTGTGGAGAGAGGAGCCCACGGAGCAGGTTTGCTGGCAGGACTTGTGACCCTGCAGGGGACCCACGCTGGAGCAGTCTGTGCCTGAAGGACTGCAGCCCATGGAAGGGACCCATGCTGGAGCAGTTCGTGAAGAACTGCAGCCCGTGGGAAGGACCCACGTTGGAGAAGTTCGTGGAGGACTGTCTCCCGTGGGTGGGACACCACGCTGGAGCAGGGAAAGAGTGTGATGAGCCCTCCCCCTGAGGGGGATGAAGCGGCAGAAAATAACGTGTGATGACCAGAAACTCCATCCCCGTCCCCCTGTGCCACTGGGGGGGTTTGGTAGAGAAATCCGGGAGTGAAGTTGCGCCCGGGAAGAAGGGAGGGGTGGAGGGAAGGTGTTCTGAGAGTTGGTTTTATTTCTCATTACCTTACTCTGGTTGATTTGTAATAAATTGAGTTAATTTTCCCCAAACTGAGTCTGTTTTGCCTGTGACGGTAATTGGTGAATGATCTCTCCTGTCCTTATCTCAACCCGCAAGCTTTTTGTTATATTTTTCTTTCCCCTGTCCAGCTGAGGATGGGGGAGTGATAGAACGGCTTTGGTGGGCACCTGGCGTCCAGCCAGGGTCAACCCATCACAGAAGGTATGTCCCATGAGCCTTTGAAATACTTTTGCCTGTGTCCCCTTCCTCAGGCCACCATGTTGGGTGACGGTGAAAGGACCCAGCATGGAGATGTCACATCCTCAAGGATCACTTAAAAACCCTGCCTAACACCTACCCCCAGGACATGGTGGAAATGGGCTTAAAAAAACGCCTTCATGTCAAAATCTAGACAGCTCAGATTACTCCTCCCTAACTCTGAGCATTGAACAGATTTCCTCTTGTCCTGGTCAGGAGAGTTCCTTCACTAGCAGGGATGGGCTGGGAGAAAGCACCTGGGAAACTTCTTGACTAGACAGAAAGCAGGGAGGAATGCAGCTGCCAAAACATCAAGGACCTTAATTAGCTGTCTCACCATCCTCTCTCTCTCCTACAGACTTGGAGGGGGTCTGTCCCTGATGTTCATTACAATGTCCCGCTCTCAGAGACCAGTGGGCAACTGGCCTGTCTCCCCACCACAAAGAAAGATGCCCCTGCGGAGGCTGGACTCCACTACCTTCTTTGCGAGATGCCTTGTGACATGGAGAAAAGAGAGAATTAACGTGATGTGTGTAAGAGACCAGCCAAGCTTGTTGCCTACCCCTTTCTCGTCTGCAGAGAGAGCCCAGGCCCTGTGTGATCCTGATGTTGATGGGTAGGTAAATGAGGGAAGATCAGGCTGAACTGATAGCATATGTCCATACATTTCATGTGGTTTGTTCAAACTTTTATGGTTTTAATATTTTGTACCTTCTATGAAAACCGGTTTGCTGCTAGGTGACTGTGCAAGTGAGATTTGATAAATGATCATATATTAACATTATGGTTGAAACAATAGACAAAGGGTAACCGGGGAGATAATTACAAAGTCTCGTCAAGTGATTAACTAGTAATTATTCATAAGTTTTGCAGTTCTTTGCTCTTATGATTAGATGTTCCTGTACACTAGATGAGAACAATGCTGAAACTGACCATAGGTGATTGAAACTGCATTAAGCTTCAAGATCAAAGAACAAGGACAAGAATAAAGACTTCAAGGACAGCCAGCAAGAACTTCAAATGGGTCAGTGATCGCAAAAGCAGCCCTTCGACTCAGATGGATCCTTCATTGTGCATGATCGGATGTAGGCAGTACTAAGATAATTGGTTGCAATTACTTTTATGTATATGTATACTAATCTGATTAATATGCCATTAGTTATTCTATATAACCTGTTAGTGCTAAAGCTGTGGTATGCACGCTAGGTGGAATGTATACTAATCTGATTAATATGCCATTAGTTATTCTATATAACCTGTTAGTGCTAAAGCTGTGGTATGCACGCTAGGTGGAACTATCCCCCGTGCATCCAGTGCTGCAATGAAGAATGCCTGCTTTCTAAAACTCCAA